TTTTGGGGACCTTTTGGGTGGGAGGGCTCTGCTGGAAGTTGACCTTTGCGGTGAAACCTTCGGGGGTGCGGCCGTTCGCGAGCCCATTTTTTGGGGGGGGTTTATTTTTGGGGGGGAGAGCCCATTTTGGGGGGTCCCCAACGACCACAGCAATGGGGTGACAGCCGAATTCGGGGTTTTTTTGGGAGGGGTCCCACCTCGTTCCCCCCTCCCCAGGTGAACAACCTCCGCAAGGTGCTGCAGAGCGTCCTGGAGTACTGGCAGGACGTGAGTCCCCCCCAAAATAAAACTCGGGGTTCCCTTGGGGATTTGAGGGGTGGGATTTTGGTGGGATGGGGGGGCTTTAACGCTGCCCCCCTCCCCAAAATAAAAGGTGCTGGGCCAGGCCGTGGAGGAGCGGCACGTGCCGGACGTGGCGCCGGCGGCCCAGTACGGCGACCCCGAGCAACTGGGCAAACTGGTGCGGCTGGTGCTGGGCTGCGCCGTCAGCTGCCAGCAGCGGGAAGGTGGGTCCGAGGTTTATTTTTTTGGGGGGTGGGGGGCTCGGGGGGAATGGGATCCCCCCAAAAAAAACACCCCCTGACCCCCTCCCAAAATCTCCCCCCGCCCCCCGGCAGAGCACATCCAGCGCATCATGACGCTGGAGGAGGCGGTGCAGCACGAGGTGATGGCGGCCATCCAGGAGGTGGGGGCACCCCCTGCAGGGGTTTTGGGGGGGGTTTGGGGGTCCTGGAGGGTTTTTGGGGGGTTCTGGGGGTCCTGGAGGGTTTTTGGGGGGTCGCTGGGTGGCGGTACGGGGTCGTGAAGGGTTTTTGGGGGGGGGTCCCTGGGTGGTTTTGGGGATCCTGGAGGGTTTTGAGGGGGGTCCTTGGGTGGTTGTGGGGATCCTGGAGGGTTTTGAGGGGGGTCCTTGGGTGGTTGTGGGGATCCTGGAGGGTTTTGAGGGGGGTCCTTGGGTGGTTGTGGGGATCCTGGAGGGTTTTGAGGGGGGTCCTTGGGTGGTTGTGGGGATCCTGGAGGGTTTTGAGGGGGGTCCTTGGGTGGTTGTGGGGATCCTGGAGGGTTTTGAGGGGGGTCCTTGGGTGGTTGTGGGGATCCTGGAGGGTTTTGAGGGGGGTCCCTGGGTGGTGCTGAGGGTCCTGAAGAGGTTTTGGGGGAGTCACTGGGGGGTTTTGGGGGTCCTGAAGGGTTTTTAGGGAGGGTTCTGAAGGCTTTTTGGGGGTCTGTGGGTGGTGTTGGGGGTTCTGAAGGGTTTGGGGGGGGTCACTGGGGG